TTTTGGTTTTTCTCCGGTACCGGGAACCGAACTCACGACCTTGCGCTTGCCAGGCAGGCGCTTTGCCACTGAGCTAAATCCCCAGCCCCTGTGTTTGAGTTTTATAACCTCTGTAAACCTGGTCAAATGATACATTATATACAATGTAATTTACATACATATAAAATATATTTTTAGTTCATATATATGTATACTAAAAATATACTTAAAAATATCTATATCTATCTATATAGATATAGATAGATATATAGATATATAGATATATAGATAGATAGCTAGGTAGATAAGGGGAAATGCACTGATATGGAATGATTTTCAAAATATTTTGAGAGCCAGGCGTGGTGGTGCATGCCTGTAATCCCAGCACTTGGGAGGCTGAGGCAGGAGGATTGCTTCGAGTTTGAGGCCAGCCTGGGCTACAAAGTGAGTAAAAGCCCAGTCTGAACTGCATAGCTGGACCCTGTCTCAAAAAAAAAAAAAAAAAAAAAGAGAGAGAGAGAAAAGGGATATAGAACAGGGTGTATTTATCACTTTTTAAAAAAATTTTTTTTTTCTTTTGAGACAGGGTCTCACTATGCAGTTCAGGCTGTCCTTGAGCTCATTTTGTAGCCCAGGTTGGCCTCAAACTCACAATGATCCTCCTGCCTCAGCCTCCTGAGTGCTGAGATTACAGGTATGTGCCACCACGCCCAGCTATCATTTTTTTAAAAATTTATGTATATGTATACCAGGCATGGTGACACACACCCGTCATCCAGATACTCAGGAGGTGGAGGCAAGAGGATTGTCTTAAATTCAAAGCCAGCTGGGATTACAGGCATGTGCCAACTTGCCTGGCTTCCCTGCTTTGTGACACAGGCAAATTTCTCAATTTTTTGGCCTTAGGCGCTTCATTTATAAAATAAAGACAATAATAATACCCACCTCATAGAGTTTTGTTGTGGAAATTATATAATTTAACACATGACTTGTAAAAAGTAACTTATTACAAACTTGACACAAAAACAAATTTAAAATGTCTTTATTCATTTACATAGCAAATTACTGTCCCCAGTTGAAAACCAGAATCTCTTAATTTGTCCAGCTTAACTGAAAAATTCAGGTATTTCTTTATCATGTACTGACATAATAGAGGATGTAAATGTCAATAAACAGATAACTATTAAATAATTTCATAATATGCAGAATCTTGGATAAATGGTTAAAATTTCAGACCAATATTAAATATAGGCACATAGATATTTCAGGTATACCAACAGGCTTAATAAAGATGTTTGTATTGATTTGCTTTTAGTGAATTTTTAAATACCCAATTCCAAATCTTCCAGCTCCTGGAGGATGGCTGTTTCTTTTTGAATTTTCTCCAACTAGAAAAGTATAAAACAATGCAGTTATTGAACTGGAAGTGAAGTAGTTATTGGATCTGTAGTATGCCAGAAAAAATTCAGAGAAGGAATAGTTCTTACATTTTAAATAGTTCTTACACTGGAAAACACAGATTAAAAACTATTGATTAGAAACAAATTCTAAATTGATATTTAGAATGAATCAGAGGAACAAATGACAGAAGCTGTCTCACTACGTCTCTTTCTATGTCTGGCCTCAAAACTGCTGAGGAACGGAAAGGGGAAAAATGCTAGCTGAGACACAGGAAGGAAGATATGCATTTATATAACATAACGCACTGCCCGCCATTTTCAGCAGGGACAGCATTCATATGCCCCTCAGGAAGAGTAACTTTGTCATTTACTGTAATCAACTGTGTATCATATCCTTCCCTATTAAAAGTTAATTTTGGGGGATTTTTTGGTACTGGGAATTGAACTCATGACCTTGCGCTTGCCAGGCAGGTGCTATGCTGCTCAGTTATATCCCCAGCCCTAAAAGTTAACTTTTATTTTATTGCTTCTATTCTTTTCTATTTCTATTCTTTTTTTTTTTTTTGTACCAGGAATCAAACTCAGGACCTTGCGCTTGCCAGGCACTTTGCTTGTGCCACTGCGCTACATCCTTGGCCTCTATTCTATTTTTTGAGACAGGGTCTCCCTGTGTAGTTCAGGCTGGCCTGGACTCACTATGTAGACGAGGCTGGCCTTGAACTGTGGCAATCCTCCCACCCTGGCCTTCTAAATGCTGGGTAATTTACAGGCGTGCACCATCACACCCAGTAAAACTTCTGAAAGTATGAATATTACAGAACAAGTTTAAATGTTTACTGACAATAAAGAGGGAAAGACAGTAATGACTTTGAGCGCAAATGAAAAATGCAAGAAAATACCTGGTTTTTTTCTAGTTGTTTTCCGGCTGCTGCTTGTTCTTTTAGTTGTTCGATTGCTTTCAGTTTCTGCAAACATCAAACATCAGTCAAGAGCAAGACAGGAAAAGCCAATTTCTCTCAGGAAAAGTGAGTTTTCTCATTTAGAAGCCAATAATGATTATGAAACTGAATCAAGTAGAATTATCCTACACTTCCATCAAAAATAGTCTATTAAAATGTTAGGGCAAACTATTTTTTTAAAGCTAAATAATAAAGAAACGGGAACTAGCAAAAATGGTTTTCAAGCTTTTAATTAATGTTATCATTTGTGTACACACACACAGGTGCACATATGTAAATATATCACTAATTTCACCATTTACTTCAATACGCCATTGACCCTGGACCTTGTCTTTGCCTTTAACTACTTACCAATCCAATTACTTCAATGTACCATGACCAAACATTGCATATTTTTGTTAATTTTTGTAAGATTATATGAAAGAAAATATAAAAATGACAATTTTATCGAATTTATTTAATACAAGAATCAACTGGTTGGGCTGGAGATATAGCTCAGTGGCACAGCACCTGCCTAGCAAGCACTAGGTCCTGAGTTTGATTTCTGGTACCAGAAAAAAAAAGTCAACTGGTTGAAATGACACCCACTCCCGTGACACTCATGATAGTTGGCATGTAAACAAATGCAATGTCCAAGAGATGATGTTTGGGGTAAACTTGGGGTAAACTTTTGGTCTCTGTTTCCTCATCTTTTACTGTTGTTATTGTTGCTTTGGTGGACTGGGACTCAGACCCAGAGCACAGTGCTGAACTATACTTCGTACTGAACTATAACCCCAGCCCTCCTACTTCGTCTTTAAAACTGGGATAAAACATCTGTTCCTACCTATCTTACAGGTCTAGGATGAGACAATGAATACAAGTATTCAGCAACTTGTGTACAAATGTAAATTACTTATTACTTTAAGAATTAACAGAAGTAGTAATAGCTTTCAAGCATTCTTGAATAGAATTAAAATGAGTACCACTCCTAAATCACAGTATTTCATAATGAGAAAGTTACCATTTTAAAGTATCTAAGTTCTACTTTTCTTTATGTACTTCTTAGATACACTCCTTTCCATAAACACATCTGGTTTTCATGTAAGTCTCTCACCTTCTTCAGATTCTTAATCTTTTTGTCTACTTCGGGGTCACCGGAAGCTGACCGAGAGGCCGCGTTCTGGGGTACACTCTGGGCAGCAGGAGTAGGTGCTACATCTGCAGTCTTGTCACTTCTTGCTTCCTGCAGGAGAAAGTTTTAAAAATTCAATTTAAAAAATGAAAACATGAAAGTATTTCAATCCACAGTCTTTGTATAAATACTGAAACCAAGGAGGTCACTTTATTTACATTTTATATGAAGAATTTGAATTGTGAACTCTGCTACATATTCCCCCACTAGACAGAAAGGACCTTATCAGAGTAAACTAGGCCATTTCTATACCAGTCAACCATCCACGGAGACTTCTGGATATTTTGGGAAATGCCATCAGTGGGCTGACAGCAATGAGAAACGAGCTCTCTCAGCAGACCCTCCCTTACTCTTGGACTCTCTCTCGGTTCTCCAGACTGTGGGCAGTAAATTTCTGTTATGTAAAAATTGCCCACTCTGAGGTATTCTGTTATAGTAGTCTAAGGAGACAAGCTACCCACTCTGTCTGAATCTCAAATGTATGTTACCATGACCTCACTAACAAGACATTTCCAGTCTAGTTGGTCATGTTCCCACCGTGAGCCATACAGTGTCACATTCTGTAATCACACTGGTATGATTTTTCAACTACATAATCAAATGCAGTTATTTTAGCTAGATGTGGTGGCACACACCTGTAGTCACAGCTACCTGAGAAGCTGAAGCAGAAGGATTGTAAGTTCAAGGCCAGTCTGAGCAAACTGGCAAGAACTTGTTTCAAAATTAAAAAAAAAAAATTATTTATTTATTCATTCATTCATTCATTCATTCATTTATTTATTTGTCTTTTTGAGACAGGGTCTCACTATGCAGTTCAGGCTGGCCTTGAGCTCACTTTGTAGCCCAGGCTGGTCTTGAATTTGAAAGGATCCTCCTGCCTCAGCCTCCCCAGTGCTGGGCTTACAGGGCTACACCACCACACCTGGCCCATAATAAAATTTAAACCTGGCATGGTGGTGTATGCCTGTAATCCCAGCATTTCAGAGGCTGAGGCAGGAGGATTGCTGTGAGTTTGAAGTCAGCCTGGACTACACAGTGAGTTCAAGGCCAATCTGAACTGCATAGTGAAACCCTGTCTCAAGAATTTATAAAGGGGTGTGGGCATAGCTTATTGGTAGAATAAAACTGAGCTAGTACACGCAGGGCCTGGCTTCAATTCCTAGTACTGCAAAAAACACAAAAATAATAAAAATAAACGAACAGATTAGAAATCTCTTGCCTTTATAAGATAAATACCTTGGGTACTCTGCTATAGTGATGAAACACTAACACGATCTCCATCTATTGTATAGATAGGATTACTCAGAAACTCAAAGGCAAACACCATAGAAAGACATTCTGGCTACTTAAAGTCTAACTACATTCTGTAATAGCAAGTCTTTAGGACTACAGTTCTTTTTTCTTTGTTTTGTTTTTGTTTTTGTTTTTTGAGACAGGGTCTTGCTATGTAGTTCAGGCTGGTCTCGAACTCACAATGATTCTCCTGCCTCAGCCTCCCAAGTGCTGGGATTACAGGTATGCGCCACCACACCTGAAAGGACCACAGTTCTTTCAACTTTAACATTTAAAGCTCGGGCTGGGGATTTAGCTCAGTGGCAAAGCACCTGCCTGGCAAGCGCAAGGTCGTGAGTTTGATTCCTGGTACCGGAAGAAAAAACAAAACAAAAAAAACCAAACAAACAAGAAACATTTAAAGCTAATTTAATGGGTTATTTTTGAGACTGGTACTAGTACCCAAATACCTGCTTTGCAGCTTTCTTGGCTTCATGCTTCCTTTGATTTTTAAGGGCTGTTTTTGATAACGGCTTATCATGTCCTGGTTGTGGTTTCATATTCTGGGGTGGTTCTTCCTCATGCTATGGAAAATGTAAAATAAGCAATTTTGAAATGGAGCCTATGTTTTAAAAAGTATGTACAATAATAAATTATATACTTTTGCCAATAAAGGAAAAACTTATTTTATCAAATTTATTTCAGTATCACTGGAAAAAAAATTTCAAAATTCCTCTCAGTAGCGGTACACTCCAACTGTCAGAATGAATTTATGGAGGTCTTCCTATTTGTTGGTATGCATCTTTCAGGTACATACTATTTAACAAAAGCTGGCAAAATCCCTTTTAGCTTTATTTAAAGGACAGAGTTTTTCTTAGCACTACTAGAGACACACAAACCTTATGAAATCAGGTACCAAAACACATTCTTCGGAGGGTTTTGATCTGACTACTATCAACAGAAACCTGGGTCCTCACTTGTTTTCGTCATAAAAAGAATTACTTGTCAGATCTTTATTTGTAAAAACCAGAGATCAGAAGATGAAGCAACGTTAAACATAATGTGGGAGCTAAGCAGTTGCAGACACTTGGTTTGGTCAGGTGGGAAGGGCCATGCTTTTGGTCTGTGGAAGTGAAGAGGGGCACAGCAGAGGCACAAGAATATTTACTCTTAGGAAAGTGCCCACTTCCCTGAGCGCCTGAGGGTCACATGCCCACACAGCCCCTTTTTCGTAAGGAGCCCTAGTGTGCTGCTGCTGTGTGGTCCCTTTTCTAGGAACACTAGCTGGACTGCTGCTCACTCTCAAGCGCGTTTCCATCCTACCACCCCACAGAAACTCAGGGGTTAATCGGCGTGCTCTTCTGAGCGCTCGAACGCTAACATTTTAGAATTATACCAGAATCTGATCAATACTCTGGTCATAACTATAAAGCAAAAGGAACTAATGGCCTGAGGGTAACAAATATGTTTTCAAAATTGGGAAATTGCACATAAGCACCCGGATCCATTGTCTTGAAAACCAAACATTTTGACAAATTAAATCTAAAACTGTCCTGGAGAAAGAATCAGTTATTACAGTGTAGCTGCTAAGGCCCTTACACAGGACATGAGCGCTCTCATTTACCATTCTTTCTCACTTACTATTGTACTATACATTGGCCTAGCTTAACAGGCACTTGAATTTGAGCTCCTGGTACAAAGTCAATGTAAAAAAAAATTCAGTATCTTACTCAGTTATCTTTCCCAGAAATTTAAAAATAGAAGGAAAAGTTCTAAAGAGCTCCACACAGTGAAAAATTTTCCCAACCAAAGAAGTAACACTTTCCTTACCAATTTGGAATTGCTAGCTGGTTTGTTTCGTAAAGCCGGGGGTCTGTAAGCTGTCGCAACTTTAGGCTCTTCACTGGGCACTTCGCTTGGAACTGCTTGGTACGTTATCGTTTTTGCTGGAAATACTCCATCCAAGAATGGCTGCCAGGAAACCTGCCACAACTCTCCATTTGACGGGACATCATACTTGTGCAAGACAGAGCCAGTGTAATGCCAGATCTTGTAGCCATTATTAACACGCAACCTGGGCGCACAGGTGGCTGTTAAGATGTGCTCCCCATCTGGACACCAAGCGAAGTATGTAGAATCACAAGCTACTGGTTTAGAAATAAGTTTGTAGTTTTTAACATCCCACACTTCCATTTGTCCCCTCAGATTTCCAAATCCAGCTAGCACTAATATATGTCCATGAGGGCTGTAGTAGGCTGCATTGCGAGGACCAGTTCCAAAGTCAAACACGGGATCGCATTTCAAATTGAAAATTGTTGCTTTGGCAGGCATAAAACCATAGACAGCACAAAACTCAGTTGAACTAGAATTCCAAACTACATCATAAATGGGGCCATTTTTTGCTAGAAAAAGAATGTAAAACTCAAATTAGCAATAAAGAATTATATAATACTCATAAACACATCAAACAGTAAAGAAAACCCCTCCAAAAAATGTCAAGGAATATTAAACATAATATATTCCTATGTGACATACCATGGGAATTAATGTATTAGGTACAGTCACATAATTACTGAAGAATCTCTATTGATGCCTGGTGTAGTGATGCACACCTCTAATCCTAGCACTCAGAAGGCTGAGGCAGGACTGCTGGGAGTTTGAGGTCAGTCTGGGCTATACAGTGAGTTCAGGGCCAGCCTACATAAATAGACCCTGTCTCAAAAGAAAAAAAAAAAAAGAAGAATTTCTACTGAGTCTTCATTTCTTTCAAACATTTTGACATCGGGGGTCACAAAGCCAATATGGTTTTATGGTAACAGTTTATTACTATTAACGAACAAAAAATCGAGATGAGATCTAGCTTTTTGTGCCAGGGAACTCCTAAGCTCAAGTGATCCTCTTGCCTCAGCCTCCCAGGTGCTAACAATAAACTACAGGCCCGTACTACCATACAATATAATTTTTAAAGCAGTAATATATGCTCATGGTAATAAAAATAAAAGCTATATAAAAAGATGTATCACAAAAGAAGTCCTTCTATACAAAGGCAACCCATTATATGTCTTGCATATCCTTTCAGAATTTTTTTTTTTTTTTTTGTATTTTGACCCTTTTTGAGACAGGGTCTCGCTGTGCAGTTCAGGCTGGCCTTGAGCTCACTTTGTAGCCTAGGCTGGTCTCAAACTCGCAACAATCCCCCTGCCTCAGCCCCCCGAGTGCTGGGATTACAGGTGTGTGCCACCACGCCCAGCTTCAGAATATTTTTGACGAAATAAAACACCTATCTCTCACACATACATATAAATGACAAAGTTCTAAACCCGTTATTTCCTTTAATACTTTGTTTTGTTTCTGTCTTTTTGAGACAGGGTCTCGCTATACAGTTCATGTCGGCCTTGAACTCACTTTGTAGCCCACACTGGCCTCAAACTTGCATCAATTCTCCTGCTTCAGCCTCCCGAGTGCTGGGACTATAGGCATGTGCCACCATGCTCAGCTAATACCTTATTTTGAAGATTTTTCTTCCTTTTTTGGTGGTACTGGTCATATACACAGCGAGGGCCTTCTTACTGATCTACATCCCCAGCTCTCTTTATTTCTTATTTTAAAGCAGGATTTCAGTAAATCACTATGTTGCCCAGGCTGGGCTCAAATTTGAGATCTTGTCTCACCCTCCCAGAGTGCTGGGATTACAGGCATGTACCCTTAGGCCCTACTGAGATTTTTCAACATAAGCACATTAAAATCTGCCTTGTTCTTTTTCAGCTGCACTACATTCTGTTACAAACCTTGCTTTATTTTCCCCACTATGAGTACACACAAATATATCTGCAGGAGGGAAAGCGCAAGGCCAAAGGGTGTTTAGATTTACTTGGTAACATACCACCAAAATGTGCCTCAAAGGTATTGTACCAACTTACATGTCTATATATAGACTCTGATAGCACGTTTCCCTCTTCCTATCATAACTGTACAGTTTCTTACTTTTCTCTTTGCCAACCTATTAAGTAAAAATTTACGCCTTGTTTTCTCTTATGTCTCTGATTATAAGCTAAGCATCTTTAATGGAAGTGATTTTCTCCTGTAGGTTAACCTTACTGCCCATGCCTATCATTCTTCCTCATTTTTTTTTCTTTTTGGTACCAGGAATCAAACTCAGGACCTTGTGCTTGCCAGGCAGGCGCTTGTGCCGCTGAGCTATATCCCCGGCCGTCTTCCTCATTACTGACTGGACTTTTACCTAAGTTTACTTGATATATCAAGAAACTTCATCCTTTCTCATCCTCATCCCTTGTTTGCTTCTCAGAATGATAATCTTCCCAATGCTTTGTCTGTTTTCCTTATAGATCCTTCTTCCACCACTGTCATTCATTTTCTTGTTGTTACTGTTTTGAGACAGGGTCTCACTAAGTCGTTCAGGCTGGCCATAAACTCACTATGTATCCCAGACTGGCCTTGCACTCGCAGTGATTCTCCTGCCTCCGCCTTCCAAATGCTGCAATTACAGGCGTACATGACCACGCCTGGCTGTGAAATCTGTGATTTTCATGTATTAGATTTATTATTTTTCTCTCATGATTTCTGGTTTCTTAGAACAACTTTTCATACTTTAGACTAGAAAAAAACATTCTCGTATTTTCCTCTCTTCTTTTGAAGTTTTTATGCCACTTGTTCCCAAACCATAAATTAAACAATGAGTGTTTTTTCCACTAATTCAATGCTAACTTTACTATGTATGAATTCCTATGGGAGTGTAGATCTATTTCTGGGATGGTGCTATTCCACAGATTTACCATAAGCCAGAGCCAAAGTTATCTTAAGTACAACTGCTTTACATTCTAATGTTAGTATGAGAACACCAGAATTCCCTCTGCCCTCCTCCTCTTCTGTAAAAGTTTTCAGAACATTTTTGGATGTTCACTTTTCAACAGTCATTATAACCAGCTTATCCAGTTTTAAAAAAATCAACTAGCATTTAATTTTTAGGTTAACTTGGACAGAAACAACATCTTTATAACATTCTCCTCGTTAAAAGGTCATGACTTGTCGCTGAACAGTTTAAGTTTTCTTCCCATAGGGGTTCTATGTTTCTTATTTTTGCTGCATATGGAATCTTTCATTATATTTTTAGAAGTGGCTATTTATAACTTCACCTATTCAGTTTTTTCCTTTCAAAATTGTTTTACTTCTTTTTTTTTTTGGTACTGGGACTCGAACTCATGACCTCAAGCTTGCCAGGCAAGTGCTTAAGCTGCTGAGCTATACCCCTGGCTGTCTTACCTCTTTTGATCAGTCATATTTACTAGGTATTTTGGCCATCCTTGTTTTATTTCTATCTTCAATGGGAATACAGTTGTTCTGTATGGAAGATTACCCTATTCACACGTGTTCAATGCAAAATGAAAAAATCAGGAAGCTGCTAGTATTTAAAATTAATTTAGCTCATCAAACCATAGATGAGCTGGGAGCAGTGGCATATGCATATAACCCCACTCCTCGGAAGGCTGAGGCAGGAGGGTAGCAAGTTACAGGCCCGTGTGGGGACACAGTGAAACCTCCCCTCAAAAAACAAACAAAACAAAGATGAAGTGGTAACACTCTTGGATATTATTCACAATTGCGAAAGTCATTAGGCCGATTTCCTGAGTGGTATTATCTCACTCAGGAGGTTCTACTACCACTAACGTACTGGCATAACTCAAATTAACTAACTGGATTCTGTCAAAATAAGGTATGTTTGAGAATGAGTTTAAGTTTCTTAAGAGAAATTTTACCTTAAGGTTTATTAAAGTATTTGAATTCTATCACTTGATGAAAAATTTAGATTATACCTTTTTTACGGCATTATTACTTTTTACTATCATTTTTATCAAAAGAAGACTATAGGAACACTCACGCAGCTGCACCACGGCACTTTCTCCATTTGTTGCAATGTAGTGCAGTGTTTGTTCTCCATAGTAGGAAGCTCCTGTCTTGTCAACTTCTGTGCTAGCTATTACCAACACAGCAGTAGCTGTAATAGCAAAAGCTTTAATTAGATTTAAAACACAAATTAAATGGTAAACATCAGTAGCACTTTTTAAATACATCTATGAATGTAAGTCTAAATTCACACTTGCTGAACAAAATGAGAAATAAAAATGTATTTGTCATACCTTTTTTATTCCACAGCATTGTAACCTTATCAGCTTTAAAGAAACTCTTATTGGCTAAAGCTGCATGAGGTCCACCAAAGTTGGGGTACTGGTATAATCTAACAAATGAAGGTGCACCTTTACTTCCTGGAACATAGACAGCCACCTAGGATACACAGACATAAGTTATCATTTATTGTTTTAAAGCATATAAACTAGGATGGATGTGTTTTTACACTTACCAAAAAACCAAAATAAAGCAACCCCACCACAACACAAAACTAAAAAAGGTTAAGCATGTAATAGTTCATATAAACTAACAAAAACAACAATTACCTTGTACGGTTGGGGTCCAGGTGATACAACAAAATCATTAATTTTTTGCAAATGCAATTTATTTGCAATTGTGTCTAAAAAAAAAAAGTAAATGATGTTAGGTTGGTGAGAGAAGCTAACAGGAGCACAGGAAGCTCTGAGTGTTTTATAAGAAATTTCTATAGTCTCGCGTAGGTGAGGCAGAGCAACACAGTAGCAAAAGCCGGGGTGGGGAACAAGATGAACCTAGGCTTAGTTCCTACTCACTCACTTACTAGCTGAGCTTAGGAAAGTCATGGGATTATATTACCCAGCTCCTAGTGACTGACTTTACGAATACAATGCCAGGCACACGGAACATATTCAGTGAATGTCAGCTCTCCTCGATCTCTGAAATAACAGTGTTAGAGCCCCGCTGGTATAAAGTCTGACCGTGGGCTACTACTGCAGAGTATGAATACGGAAATTCTACAGTCTGTGTGAAACACAGAGGAAACACGAAAATGATCCAAACAATAGTAGATGGCTAGTATTTATTGATGTTTACTCTAGCACAGGTGCTCAGAACTCGTATGACTAACAACATGCAACTCTAGTTAATGGGAATAAAGAGGTATTGATATTACTCTTTCTTTGTTCCATGTCAGAGGTCAGCAGCACATTAAATTGTGAAGCTGGTGCCTACCATTCCTCTGGAAAGCTAACAAAGATATAAGACAAGAAAGAAAGAAATCTAATCTAAAAACAACCAGAAAGAAATTTCAAAAATACAAAAACGAAGTGCAAACTACAGCAATTAGATGCTACTCAAAGTCAGCTGTAAAGCTACCTTTGGTACAAGTGAACACAGTTACCCATCCCTATTCTACTATAATATACTCACGAGTGGACCATCACTAAGGGGATACTCTAATGACAAAAATAAATGCAATTTTTTCTTTTAAATTATCAGCAATCACATTACTGCTGTTACTGTTGGTGGTAGTCTAAGAATTTTATATGTAAGAATTAATGTAGAACAAAGCAAATGAATATGAATATTCCCAAGCCCAGAGAAAGATTCTTGGCATTGACAAAAGGTAAGTAAAAGTTTTGCAGATCTTAATTTAAATGGAATTATAGAATTCTCTCACGATTATCATAATTTAAGAATACAAAGAAAAAAAAGCCTAGAAACAATGATCAGTGCCTCAGCAATGAGAACCTTTAAATCTAAGACTGTGGTCTCTAAATACCATTTTCCATTAAAAGGAAACAGTGTTTCCTGGAACTGGTTGGCTGCAGATGTATATCAAAAAATACACAAGACAGCGGAAGAGTTTACATAAGCTGAGAAGTCATTTAAAACTAAATGAACAAATAGGGGCTGGGGATTTAGCTCAGCAGCAAAGAGCCTGCCTGGTAAGCGCAAGGTCGTGAGTTCGGTTCCTGGTACCGGAGAAAAACCAAAAAAAAAAAAAAAGACAAAATAAAACTAAATGAACAAGGATGAGACAATCTGGGCATCAATAAGAGTAGTAACTACAACAGATTAAACCATATATATTTTAAATTCATAGTTCATTAAGAAAGAGAGAAAACTAAATGTTTACAATAAAGATTGCTAAAGAGAGAACATATTAAAATTGCTGAAGGGAAAGAATAATTATCTTGGGCTGGGGATACATCTCAGTGGCACAGTGCCTGCGGGGGAAGTGCGCAGTCCTGAGTTCGATTCTGGATACCAAAAAACAACAAAAACAAAATCCCCAAAGAATAATTATCTTGTCTTTTCTCACAGTTTCAAATAGTAACCATGGAGTAGATGGGGCAATTTTCCTTTGTAATAGTACAGCTAATGCACAAAAAGGAATGGGTTGGGCATGGTGATACAGGCCTACAATCCAGCATTCAAGAGGTTGAGGCAGGAGGATCACCATGAGTTCGAGGCCAGCCTAGCCTACACGAGTTTAAGGCCAGCATGAACTGCAAAGCAAGACCCTGTCTCAAATAACAATAACAACAAAAAAGAGATCACCACTGATGAAATAAGTAATGCATCTGGGTACTGAATATTAATGCCAGCACCTTATAATATTAAAGATAACCAAACATTACAAGCTTGTTGAGAAAAGAACACCACTTTATGATGCAGTCTTGGCCCATCCACCAAAAAAATAAGAACATGAAGTTGGCCAATTCTAAATCCAACCAGGGAGGCTGGGAATATAGCTCAGCAGCACAGCACCTGCCTGGCAAGCACAAGGTACTGAGTTCCGGTACAAAAAATAAATAAATAAATAAAAATAAATCCAACTAGGGTAAAGATGAATTATCTTAAATTATACCATGGCATACAATAGTAAAATTCAAACTATGGGAAAATATACAAAATAAATAGCCTTATTTCTTAAATAATAAATTACAAGAGGGGAAAAAAAGATGGGGTAGGAATCTATATATTAAAAGAAACAAGATATATCAATCAATTGCAAAGTATGACAACTTCTTTGGATTCTGAGCTTTAAATAAACTGTAATATTTGCCATTATTAGAAATTTAAACAATGAGATACTTAATGATTGGTGATAATGATATTGTGGCTCGATTTTAAAATTAAGGGGATTAATCTTCAGAAATATGTACTGAAATATGTATTGGTAGAATTACATGATTATGGAATTTGCTTTAGCTTAGTGAGGTGATAGCAGAATAAATGTACAGATGAGAGACGACTGCCCAGCCTGAACTGCACAGTGAGACCCTATCTCAAACAACAACAAGAGATCATTAAGTTTGCTTACTGCTTGATGCTTACAGGGACTAGATGTCTACTTTTGTGTATGAAATTGTATACAATAAAATATTTGAGAAGTTTGCATCATAGAACTGCAATAGCAAGTAAGGTCAGTATTCTCAGATCTTCACTTAACAATAATTATGACTGGCTATGGTGGGGCCCATCTGTAATCCCAGCACTTGGGAGGTTGAGGCAGGCCAACTGCTGCAAGTTGGAGGATAGGATAGCCTGAGCTACATAGTGAGTTCAACACCAGCCTGAACTACATGGCGAGACCCTGTCTTAAAACACCCCCAGAAAGCTGGGTGTGGTGGCACATGCCTGTAATCCTAGCACTCAGCAGGCTGAGGCAGGAGAATTACCACAAATTGGAGGCCACCTTGGGCTACATAGTGAGTTTAAGGCCACCCTGAACTATATAGTGAGATCCTGTTTCAAAAAATCAACAAAAGCAAAAACTTCCAAAAAACAATAAAAAATATCCAGTAATGATCAAATAACAAAGTTTTTGTAAAAATTAAAATCTTTGTGTTATAGAATTTGGCATTCAGATGTACAATGAATTATGCAAATGAAAATAATAGCATAATAGTTATTGATTAGTAAACCAACAGGAATTCAGAGAATTCTAACACGTGGTATAAGGTAATGAAAACTGTATAAGCTTAAAGTATATAATAAAATCATTTATCAAATCCTTCCATACTAAAATTGTTGTTTTCAAAGAAGTGAACTTCATTGTTAACATTTCGGGCACAAATAATTTCATCTTCTGACCAGGATGGACACCTGTATCAAAAAGAAAGAAAAAAAAAAAGTTAGTCAAACTGTAATATGATGTTACAATGTTAAAGTCTGGGATTATTGTTTACTATTTAAGAAAAAATACTTATAATAAAAAGTATTGTTTTTTTTTCCTTTTAAAGAAGAAGCTGGCATAGTGGCATATATATGCCTGTAGTTCCAGCACTTTAGGAGGCTGAGGCAAGAGGATTGCAAATTCAAGTCCTACTTGGGGAATGTATTGAGACCCTTTCTCAAAATAAAAACTGGCTAGGGATATATCTCAGAGCATTCCTGTGTTCCAGTAGTAGGGGCGGGAGAAGCCTAAACAAGGAAGATCACATTTTTACTCTTTACATTTCTATATACAAAATCCTTAAAGCTCTCGGTTTTAGTTTAAGTTATTTTCAAAATCAATACCAAAGAAACAAATATTATACCATGATAATATTTAAAATATTTTGAAAATAATTAGCACTTTAAAGCTTTTATTTACCAATTTTGTGTTTTTTTCTGTATAAAAGATTTCAAACATGTCCCGGTTTTTACATCGTAAAGTTGTAGGTTGGGTATCCCAGCTGTGCCATCTTTAGAAGCTGCAATGAAACAATTTTTTTTTTTTGGCAGTAAATGTCTCCTAACATGTTTTAAAAAAGATTTCACACCTAGAAAAATTTTGAACAGGATTATGAAAATCAAATAAAGGACTTTTTAAAGTCAACTTTCCTCTCCAACCTTAAGTATGGACTTCATCATTCATCCCTAAAGCCATGACAATGTATATAATATGTTTAAGCAAAAGCCCAGCATCTCTAAAACAAATTAATTACTGCTAGTTTTATGAATACTTAAGAGATTTTTTATCTATTAAGTTTGACATGGATTACTATCACTGGATTAAATCATGAAAGCATGAAGCTATGGTATAAGTGTGGTTTTTTTTGTTTTGTTTTGTTTTGTTTGTGGTACCGGGAATTGAACGCAGGACCTTGCACTTGCCAGGCAGGCGCTTGTGCCCATGAACGATAGCCCTGGCTATAATGTAAGTCTTTAAAGGAAATTTTATAAAACCACTCATGATTCTCAGTTTCCCTCTTATTTACTTGGAAAAGAAAGATTCATTAGAGTCCCGGTCTCTTGAAAGAACAAAACCCAGGAGGTTTACAACTATATCAACATTTTCTTTGTTTTTATTTTGTTAACATTGATATTAGAAAATGGTTAATAAAGTAAATCCCATACCCATTTCCAGTATTTTATTACTCATGTATAGAACACATCTATATAAAATATTAATATATTATAAGAAATTTTTAAATGTGTTGGAAAATGTCAGTTTCTTATTTTTTGTAATACCACACACATCTCTTAGATGTTATTTCTACTGTACTTCCTTTCCCTGACAATGGTTTAAAATGTTGACTTCAAAAGTTAGAGATCTTCCTTATTTTAGTTACTTTCTAAATTTTAAGGGGCTGGGGATTTAGCTCAGCGGCAAAGCGCCTGCCTGGCAAGCGCAAGGTCGTGAGTTCGGTTCCCGGTACCGGAGAAAAACCAAAAAAAACAAAAACAATAAATTTTCTCTTAAGCCTTTTCTTTTCTTCTACCTCAAAACAGATTTTTTTCACCAACTTATTATATACATAATTCCCCTTTATCTATGGCTTCACTTTCTGAAGATTCAGTTTTCTGGCAGTCAACCATAGCCCAAAAAATATTAAATAGAAAATACCAGAAATAAATGAGCCCTAAGTTTTAAATTATGCATTATCCTGTGTAGCATATAGCTCTCTGTCTCTCTCAGAGTGTGGATCAGCCTTTGGTCTGCAATATATCCATACGCCACCTGCCCACTAATCACCTAGTAGCCTTGTGTTCATCTTGGTTATACAGTGCTTGTGTTCAAGTAATCCTTATTTTACTTAATAGTGGTGTTAAACCATAAAAGTAGCAATGATGGCACTTTGGATATGCCAAAGAAAAGCTATATACTGGTTCCTGTAAGTGAAAACAGAAATTCTCAAGTACTTAATATGCTAAGACTAAGATCTACAGTAATAAATCTATCCATAAAACTGTGAAAAAAGTAAAGGAAATTCATACTAATTTTGCTGTCATACCTCAAACAGTAAACATTACAGCCACAGTGCATGATCTTAGCTAAAACAGAAGAGGCATTAAATTAAAGGATTTGGTAGTTTCAGGCGTTCACTAAGAACCTATTTCCTCTGGATAAGACTATTATACCTTAAAATTGATTTCAGTGCACTGTATTTGGAAAACACAATATTAACTGTTGATTATAAGTAGTCACAAATACCATTTACTATTATAAAGACAAAATACTGTCAAAAGATTATAAACTCTTCTGGTTTTTTCCACTAAATTTCATTGGTCCTGCCAGAATATTTTTACAGTGGGAAAATACTTACTAGTATAAGGCTGCCATGTTGCCAGAAGAGTGTTCTTTGGTGAGAATTCAAGGCAAACTGTCTTTGGGAGGTCGAAGGAGTGCAGTAGTCTCTTGTTAGTGATATTGATAATATTTACTCTGGTTTCAAAAGAAATTACTTCAGCAATAAAACACCGTTTTATAACAGCCAGTTCTAAGCAAAACATTCACACCTCTTTTCAAATATGAATCACTCCAAATCTTTTATTTTTTCATAAAAATCAATTTTCAGTTAGCTCTAGAAAATATCCCAGAAACACCGTAACTAAAACAAGTACATTTTATTAAAAAGCCCCTATATAAGGCTAATGTGAGAAAATAATATCAAATGAAAGGGACGGTAAAGGTGCTAGACAGAACGACAAAAGAATATTTTTTCATTTGAATAAATGGAAACTGTAACAGGTAGGAAATCAACAAGGTTATTTTTGATATCTCTTAAAATCTCAAAATCAGTCCCCAAAAGACATAAACATTACTGTGGTATGATGACAGGAACTAATAAATGAAGTTCTGTATTTTGGATACCATACTTTCTATGTACTAGATAGTGGCCCAACCACTATCTATACATTTTCTCATTTAATTTTCACAACAATATTGCATCATCACCTCTGTTTTATAAATGGCTAAATTTAGGTTTATGAAAATCAAACAAGTTGATCTACTGAAGATCATTTTACTGATAAATGCCATAGCCAAGCTTCTGAAATCTCTTTGGTCTTACTTGATTCTCTGTATTACACTAAACTTTTTGCAATTTAAAAGAATGATATTCTATTTTATCCCAGAAACCGCTGAATCAAACTCTGTTCTACTTAGGTTTGAGAAAGATACCCGGATTAGGATAAGTAGTCACTAACAGGCTCAAAAGGCTATGGCATAGTTTAAGCACGTAACACATACAATTCTTTGCAAATTATTTCAGCAATTACATATTTTAAATTGCATATTTGAAAATTACATGACACTTCCTTGACTTTTTTTGACTAGTTTAATGAAACTATTCCTAGATCCTCAAAAAACTCTATTTAGGGAAAAATCAGTTGTATTTTCTGACTTAGTTAACTATAAACACAACAAAGACCACAATCAATATACTCTATCTGATTCTCATGTCCTGAAGTACTTACACTGCTGTGGCCACAGTACTTTAAGGAAAAAAATGCTAATGTCTAAAATATCTACTAAACTGATGAATACGACATTTTAAAAGGCAGACAGAGCTACCTTAACAAGACTGACACTTGAGTTCAATAGAAGGCTAAGCGGGGATATGAGTGAAATACGGACAATCAACAACAGCGCCAAGATGAAACCACTTCGGGATAAGCCACTGCAGTAAGGGACACCTAAAAACAGACAACAAAAAGCACAGAGTGTCGTACTAGGTAGTAAATTTCTATTGACTCCAAATGCTATGAAGTAAAATATGGCCAGGTGTTGTAGTGCATGCCTGTAATCCCAGCCCACAGGGAGGCTGAGGCAGAAGGGTTCAAATTCAAGTCCAGTCTGCGAAGTTTTGGAGACCCTGTCTCAAAATAAAAGAGGGTTGGGTACAGTGGCACACATAGCACTTAGGAGGCTGAGGCAGGCCATCACTGTGAGTATGGGGCCAGCCAGGGCTACACATTGTGTGCACCGCCAGCCCGCACTATATATCGAGACCGGGTCTCAAAAAAAAAAAACAAACCACAAAACCAAACAAATAAACATCCCCCTCCAAATAAACATGCACACACATATAGATAAAATAAAAAAGAGCTGGGGAAGTAGCTCAGTGCAAAGGCCCTGGGTTCAATACTCAAAAGTACTGTTTAAAAGAAAGTAAAATATGCATTAAAAAATAAAACTTACAATGTTATAGCAAAAAAAGAAAAATTGAGAATATATTTTATCTTTGAGGCTATGATTGTTAATATTGTGGTGAGACCCAATATAATAGCATTATTTAGAATTTGAAAGAAGTTTATGGGTTATATTCAATAATTAAAAAAATAAAAATTTAATTATTTCATTATCAGAACTGCCAGCAACTTTATAGTCATAAAAAGTAACTCAACTAATTCAACAAATTATCTTTAGTGAATTTTTAAATATTGCATGTTTAATCCAATCTGACCTGAGAGTGTGAAGATTTTAGAGTATCACTAGAAAGAACATCATTTAAAAGATGTTTTTCAAACCAATGCATACATTTTTCTCCTTTTCAAAAAACCTAACAGTGTTGGGCTGGGGATATGTAGCTCAGTAGTAGACCACTTGCCTAGCCAGCATGTGTGAGGCCCTCAGTTTGTTTCTTTTTTTTTGGAGACAGGGTCTCACTATGTAGTTCAGGTTGGCCTCAAACTCATGAAATCCTCCTGCCTCAGCCTCCCGAGTGCTGCGATTACAGGTGTATACCAGAGGCCCTAGGTTTGAACCCCAACACTGCAAACAAAACAAAACAAAGCAACACTGACCTAACAGTATTAAAACAACAAAAATTACTTTAAATTAAGCAACAAATCTTTGAGCATTTTCCTGGTCTACAAAAAAAAATGTTGTAGTGACTTCTAGGAAATTAAAAACTGTTTTTTTTAGTAAAATATAACCATTCAGTCAAAATAACTTTTTTCCCCCAAGATCGATTTTGTAGCAATATTTTAGGTAATATAGAGCATACTAAACATTCTTTTGCCAGGCGTGGTGGCACACGCTTGTAATCCCAGCAATGAACTGCATAGTGAGGCCCTGTCTCAAAAAGACAAAATCAAAACAAAATTCTTTTGATGGCTGGGTATGGTGGCACAAGCCTGTAATCCCAGCACTCAGGACACTGAGGCAGGAGGATCACTGGGAATTCAGGGGCAGCCTGAACTACATAGCAAGTACCCCATCTCAAAAAAACATCAAATACCAAAAACAAAACAAAGCAAAAAAACCCAAGACAACAACAACAAAAAAGGCCTGGTGTGGTGGTACACACTTGTAATCCTAGCACCTAAGAGGCAGAGGCAAGAGAATTGCCATGAGTTTGAGGCCAGCCTGAATTACAGAATAAGATCCTGTCTCAAACCCCACACAAAACAAAATAAAACAAAATTACTCTAAGTGTAGGGCAGAACTTAAGGAACTCTAATAATTTACAGCAATATTTAAAATAACTTCTCAATTTCTTTAGTGTAAAATCAGTTTCTGATACTCATTTTTAATTTTAAGTAACTAGACACTTAAGTCATGGTATATCTGCCCCTTTGGAGGTATCTGTAGCTATCTCACTGTTATCATGACATCAAAAGATTTATTAATGGCATTTATTAATGACACCCACATACACGTCGTTCAGATTATGCCAGTTATATTCATGTCTATGACACACATAAGACAGAATGTTGTAGAAATGAACACTAACTTTTCTCCGTTGCCCCAGGCAAACAAGGTCCCATCCTTACTAAAGGTATAAATTTTGCAGCTTTTCCCAGATTCCCTGAAAATGACAAAAAAGCTTAAATTAATAAACATTCTTTTCAAAAATGATTACAAAGTCTACAATCTATTAATTTACTAAAAACTTACAAAAATTTTATAAGAATACTCCACAAAGCATTAGCCTGCCAAAATACTTATCTTTTTAGACACCAACAACCCTTGTAAAGTAAAGTGGAAACTAACATTATTCCAACAGACTAGCTGGGCATGGGAGAACATGCCTGTAATCCCAGCACTAGGGAGGCTGAGGCAGGAGGATCATTGCGAGTTCAAGGACAGCCTGGACTACAAAGTGAGCTCAAGGCCAGCCTGAACTGTATAGTGAGACCCTGTGTCAAAAAGATTAAAAAAAAAAAAAAAAAAAAACCACCAACAGATTAATCTTAAGAGAGAAACAGATCTGTTTTGGGGTTGAGTAACTGGTTTGTGTGGAAACCACAAAAATATAACTGAGTTTGAAAGTTACCAGTTGTCAGCCCTGACTTTACAAAGACTGAAGAATTTCAAAAGGGAGATTTTGTGGTCCAGACTATCCACACAGCACAACAGTGATGGACAGAATACATTCAAGTGGTCAACCAATGTCCCTAGATTTGAAGGACAAAGACCATCAATTTCTCATGTATAAAGACAGAACTTCTAACAATAATAAGAAAATATTCATATTAAAGGTCACTGCAGGATTCTGTACAGCATCTGTGGAAATCCAACTACTTAACAATCCTCTTATCAAGTAACCAAAACTGTATAAGATATGTGAAAGGTTACATTTAAAAAAAAATTATTACAGCAAAAGATACACTGTCATTAATGCCCTGTAAAATATTCCCCCTTGCTTTGAGCACAGAACATGTGCCACTTTCTGAAGCAGCTCTGGAAGCTCTCTTTCAAGTCTTTAGTTGGTTGTAGGTACTGTCATGGCCGCCTTGATTTCCTCAATCAATTCAAACCCTTTCAGGATCATTTTGACTTTGGGGAAGAGCCAGAAGACAAGTTACAGTGCTAGACCTGCTGAGTAAGGTAAATAAGGACACATCACAACGTTATGAGCCTCCCTCTCTGCTGGATGGCACTTGGGAGATACATTCGCTGTACTTTTGATCACACCTCATAAAGACACTAAAAATTACCACAGAGGGCTAGGGATTTAGCTCAGCAGCACAGCGCCTGCCTGGCAAGCATGGGGTCATGAGTTCGATTCCTGGTACCGGAAAAAAAAAAAATTACCACAGACAGTGGCAAGGACAATGGGAACAGTATGTTTAAAGCATGTTAGAGGGGCTGGGGATTTAGCTCAGTGGCACAGTGCCTGCCTGGCAAGCGCGAGGTTGTAAGTTCGATTCCCGGTACCTGAAAAAAAACAAAAACAAAAACAAAAATAAAAATAAAAATTAAGAAAAAAAATAAAGCAGGGCAGAGTACTCTGAGGGGGATTAATGGCAGTGTCTTTTACTGTAAATATTTTTTTTAAACACACACTATATTTTTTAATCACTCCTTGTAAGTCCTATATCTCTCTACTGGAGATGGTCCTTATGAATACATCTCCTACTAACGATACAGACTCAAATAGAAATGTGTATGTGTGTGCAAGTACTCCATGAGTGTAGCACAGTATCACATGAGAATTTTATGGCCAAAATATAATTTCAGTTGCTGAATAACAACTGTATCAAGAATAATACATTCTTCTTAAACTGAACATTATCTTTGCACTCACTTATCCCAAGATGACATCTGTGTTTCTGCAATCACTCAGTAACGGTAACTTATATTTGTGCAACTCAGTTCCAAAACTTAAAGCAAAATTTTATAGTTATCTTTGTTCAATTCCTCCCAGGTTTTGGCCTATCATTCTGATCTACTCAGGGCTACTTAAATCTTGATTTCTCTTTTAAAGTATTAGTTACTCACTGATTTACATAATGTGAATTATAAAATGTCACTTCTAAGCTATCATCTAAATTATTTATAAGAATGAGCTCAGAACAAAATTCTGTAGTTCAACATTCCACCACGATCATCAGCTCATTAATTAGCTGACTTCAGTCTTATCCAGTGACAATTCTGTCATCTTCCAATCCAAAGACTTGCTCATTTCTCAGACACTTGGCTAAAATCTCATTTACAGTACTATTATTCTGATGTGCCTGGGAATTTATGCAGAAAGTAAATGAGACAAGCGTGAAATAATTCACTCAATATGGTCATCCTGACTCCAAAAATCACCTTCTTATCTCAACGATCATATGCCTTTTGTTGGAGATAGGATCTTGTAGTCCTGGTTGGCCTTGAACTCACAGCAAAGACTGTCCTCAAATTCACAGGGATCTTCCTCCTTCAGCCTCCTGAATGCTGGGATCATAGGCATGTATCAGCATGCCTGTATAAACCGTTTCTTTTAAATATAGTATTTAAGACTAAAGGGAAATTTACTATACAACAGAGCCCAGAATTCAATTCTTAACCTTGGCAACTGGGAAGTGTTGTCTATTTCCTTCTAGTATACTTTTTACATGAGAAATATAAAAAAAAATAACAGAAAAAACTATGAAAATCTACCCATCCATCCATTACCAACCTTGAATATTAACTCAAAGCCAATTTGGTTTGCTCTTTTATTTTTAATGCCAGACTACTTTAAGCAAAAACCAGATGTTACATCTTTTTATTCTACTTCAGTATGCATCTCTAAGGATTACTTCTGTGTGCAGTACTGGGGATTAAACTCAGGGTCTCTGTACTGAGCTACATCCCTACTTCTTTTGACCTTTTATAGTTGAGACAAGGTCTTACTAAATTGCCCAGGTTGGCCTGGAACTCAATCCTCCTGCCTCAGCCTCCCAAGCAGATAGGATTACAGGCATGTGCCGTGGTGTCCAGTCGATAAGGGTATTTTTAAAACACAATGTAATCCATGCCACTCTGTTTCACAAAACTCACTCCTTACTATTACCTAATACCCAGTATTTGAATTGGATCTCAAATTGGTTTTTAAAAAAGTATTTGAATTGGATCTCAATTGGTTTTTAAAAATGCTCTCAAGGGTCCTCCTAATGCAGTCAATTTGAGAACTATTCCTCTATAAAACTAGTAACATTAAGTTTTTAAATCCTGTTAAAACCTTCATGTAAATTGTTTGGTATCTACTGCAACTCACTGGGAGACACATGCAGCAATACGTCCTTGTTCTATTCCTAGTGATAGTAAGATTGTACTGGATTCAGTCACGTGGCTTGTCAGACCCACTCAACTCTTCCTCTTCCCAAACCACAACTATTCAGTCAAGTGACACGGCCACTGCACCTCCTAGCACCACTGGCTGTCTCAGACCACAGGAGTGGAGGTCATATTTCGCATGGGTTCCATCATGCCCACTGCAGCAGGTAGGAGAGCAACTCTGACTCCCAGCTTCAAACCAAACACGAGAAGGCTGGTTTTAGGTAATTTTCTTCTTCCACACCAACCTGTTTTGAGAAGGGTTCCACAGAGCTTCTCTAGAGGCATTTTGCATGCATGACCAAGAAACGCTGCTATATCCTGTGGATCCTTGGTCAGGTCAGTGTATTCCCACTGCTAGCTTTGGCTCCCTGTCTGCCTCACTTCCCCTTTCCCCCTCCCTTCTGTAACCTCACCAATACAGTGTAGCACATAACTGCAATGCCACTGTTAGCTACAGGAATGCTTCTCAAACATTAACACACATATAAATTGTCTGAGGATCTGGTTCAAATACAGATTTTTAATTTAGGAAGTTTGGTAAGGCCTGACATGTTGTAGGTCTACGATGGCTCACTGCTGATGCCAACATAGCTGGTTTTGGGCCCACATATCCTATAGCAAGGCTCTAGAGAAGTGGGCCTAATAAATGGTTTTAGCATCTTTTGATGAACGCCAGACTAAATCACTGGGTTTTTGTTGTTGTTGTTGATTAATTTTTTTGAGACAAGAAGCTCAGGCTCTCCTTAAACTCACCATGTGGGTAGGCTGGCCTGGAACTCCTGCAATCCTCCTGCCTCACCCTCTCAAGTGCTGGTATTACAGGCAAGTGCCAGCATGCCTGGCTTAGACCACTAGTTTTGAAAGTTGCTCCCCAGATCTGCAACTCAAGTCTTATCTGAGGAGTTATTTAAAATGCACTATCCCTTATCCATAAATCAGAAAATTTAGGGTAGAGAGCCAAAATTTGTGTTTTAATAAGCTTTTCAAATGATTCTTTTAAAAAACAGCAACAGCTTTTATTTTATTATTATTATCATTATTTTTTTGGTCTTTTTGAGATAGGGTCTTGCTATGCAGTTCAGCTCGGCCTTGAGCTCACTCTGTAGTGCAGGCTGGTCTCGAATTCACAATGATCCTCCTGCCTCAGCCTCCCGAGTGCTGGGATTATAGGTGTGTGCCTCCCGAGTGCTGGTAGTTTTTTATTTTATGAAAAAATAAGTTTCATAACAAAAGAAGAGACTAAATAGTTAATACATTGCATATTGTTATCTTCAAAGCAGTTACTCAGACTACAAGACATAAACCAAAATGATTCTTTTTTTGGGGTCTTTTTTGAGACAGGGTCTTACTATGCAGTTCAGGCTGGCCTTGAGCTCACTCTGTAGCCCAGGCTGGTCTCGAACTCACAACAATCCTCTGGCCTCAGCCTCCCGAGAGTCGGGATTATAGGTGTGCGCCACCACACCTGGCCAAAATGATTCTTGTAAAACTTTTTTTTTAAAAAAACTTTCTTTTCAATGAACTAAAATAAACTTGTAGTATAAATAAAACAACATATGTATGAAATATTTTTGTGACAACAGAATATACAATTTGGGGAAGTATTTGAACTATTTCCTATTTATCTCACTTCTATTTTGTTCCTTATTTGTATGTGTGTGCATATATAGTGTTTCTCATAGAAGAAAAACCACGTGATATTCACGCTCATGTGTCTGACTTATTTAACATTATGTTTCCTTTTCTTTTTTTGAGACAGGACCTTGCTATGTAGTTCAGCCTGGCCTTGAACTTGTGGCGATCCTTCTGCTTCAGCCTCCCAAGTGCTGGGATTACAAGTGTGGGCTACCACACCTGGGAAAATTATGTTGTCAAATTACACCCATTTATTCACAAATGCTTCAAGTTTATCTTTCTTTATGGCAGTGTGGTACTCCACTGTGTATAATTACCACATTTTCCTTATCCATTCTATATGTTGTTTCCAAGATCTGTCTACTATAAATTGTATTGCTATAAACGTGGGTGTGTGTGTATTCCTATAATATATCTTTTGGGAAAACACCAGGGAGGAGAATAACTGGGTCAAATGGAATTTCTAGTTTTAGTTTTCTGAGCAATCTATAGTGGTTGTACTAGTTTACATTCTCACTAACAATGTAAAAAAGTTCCCTTTTCTGCCGGGTATAGTGGTGCACATCTGTAATCCCAGCACTTGAGAGGCTGAGGCAGGAGGGTCACTGTGAGTTTGAGGCCAGCCTGGGCTGCATAGTGAGACCCTGTCTCAGAAACAGAAAGTTCCCTTTTCTCCATATCCTCACCAAGATAGTAGGTTTTTTGATGATAGCCATTCTTTCTGGGGTAAAACGGTACCTCTGTATAGTTCTACTTGCATTTCTCCGATGCTTAAGCATGCTAAACCTTGAGCATCACTGGCCCAAAGTCACGATTTCTTTAAGATTACAAAATGGTGATTGTCTAATACTGTTATTCCTCTTCTGCATTTATTAACTTGAATTCTTGTTTCTAAGTAACAAGAAAAGACTCCATGGAGCACCAGTGCTGGTGAGGTTCCTTTTAGCAAGAAGTGGAACTGTACTGAGAGCTCACAACCTATGACGCATGCATATTCACTGCTACCGGGTCCTCACTGTTTCCAGGACTCTTCAGTTAAGAGAACTATAAAATACACGTATTTTTATGAAAAGAAACCATGAGTTTGTACGGATATATGCAAACCTCTCTTCACTTTCATGCTAAAAAAAAAGAAGTTCCTCATGATGTTAATATAATTATTTACTTACTTTATGCTATGATAGAATCAAGTGTTTCCCTAATGGCATTAATATATTTACTTATCTTATGCTATAACAGATTCAATTGACAGTACCAATTTGCAGTTAAGAATTTCAAAGATTTTCATATGGTTATATCTTGATATAAAGGCAGGGTCACTTGTTTCAGTCTTCTATTTTAATTCGTATTTAATTTCATTACTGAAAACAACTACATGGTCCAGAAGTTAAAACTATATATACCAAAGTTCATTTGCAGATATATGTCCTGCATCCTGTAATTCTCTCTACCCCTATAGTAATCATTTTGGTTAGTTTTTGGTTTACCCCTCCATCATTTCTTTTAGGGAAAAATATATTTAGTTATCTATGTATTATGCACATGTAGTCTATAACCTTCCTTCTTTACCTGATTTTCTTTTGTCTGTTCGAGACAGGGTCTCGCTACGCAGTTCAGGCTGGCCTTGAGCTCACTTTGTAGTCCAGTCTGATCTCGAACTTGCAACGATCCTCCTGCCTCAGCCTCTCAAGTGCTGAGATTACAGGCGTGCGCCACCATGCCCAGCTCTTTATCTGACTTTCATTCTTCCATTTCATGAAGATTAGCAGTGGTTTGACTATTACCCTGGCAAGTTTTTCTCATTCCTTTAGATAAAACTCTTCCAAACCAAAGGCCTAAACTCAATTACACTAATGCCTACACTTTTCCTTTGTATCATTTCCCTCCATTTTTTAAAATGGCTTAAGCAACTGTGTCCAAATCTGAAGATAATATTTTTTGATAAAGAGTATGCATTCTTTCCATCTTCTGTCAATATTACATATTATGCCCTAAGAAACAAGCTTATTGTTTTCTTTGCTGTTTAAAATATACCAACAATAAAAACAATTTAGAATGTATTTATATTTCCTATAACGGCATTTAACAAAATAATCCATACCTTGGAAATACAGTGCTTTCTGTAAAATGTGGTGGGCCATTCACCATATACAGTCCTTCTGATCCTCGGACTAAAGAAATATAATGGAAAGAACCACAATTATTTAGCTAACAAAAACTCAAATGTATTTTTAAAAAAGCTTTCAAAATGTTAAATCATTACACAGTTCATGTACCACAGAATGTTGGCATTAAAAGGGCACACTTCCATACCCTATTACATAGAAGCATATCACTACTGAGAAACTATGTAACTTTTATAAATAAAAACAGGTCACACCTGTAATCTCACTTACTTGGGAGGCTACAGCAGGAGGACTACAAGTCTGAGGCCAGTCTGGGCAACTTAGCAAGACCTTGTCTCAAAATAAAAAACATAAAGGAGTAGGTACATAGCTCAGTGGTAGACTGCTCCTGGATGTGTCCCCAGTTACCATAAAAAAGAAAAAATTGAGAGAAGATTACCACCTGGGGGCAAAAGCAAAGGTGAACATCTCTGAATTGATATTGGAGAAAAGCAATTACCCTAAGGCTGAGGGCAAAAGGTAAAGTCTGAATCAAGAGGATACATGAAAAGAAAATCCTACTGGAATTAAATCTAGTCTTTGGGAGGTGTGTGACGGGAAATAGGGCCTCTCCTAGATCACAACACCCTGGTGTACTTGCCGTCTTGGGAGAGGACAGGACTGAGGGAGGGCCCTCCAGTGATCCCCTGGCTCATGGAACAGACCTGCAATTTCTCTAACTACTCTACAGGGCACAGCCAAGCGAGCCACAAGCAACTCCATAATTCAGACAAGTAGAAAACGGGAGAACGGGGTAGAACAAAACACCAGGTCCAGTAAACTAGTGTTACAGTGCTTGCCAGCGATGGTGGGATTGCAGGGAGAAGATTTACCCAACACAGAAAAATTAAGTCGCCCATTGCTCTACATACAAATGGGGGACATTCAGCATGCTACACCCTACTTTGGTGAGCTCTCACAGGGGCCCCTAAACTTCCTAGCTGGGGAACGCAGATGACAGGCAAAAAAATATGCTGGAGAAAAGACAGCCTCTTTAGTAAGTGGTACTAGGAAAACTGGTTATACACATGCCAAAGACTGAAGCTAGATCCATATCTCTCACTACTATTAATCTAAAATCAAAATAGTTCAAAAATCTAAATATTAAAACTGAAATACTTAATCTGCTGGAAGATAAACTAGGTAAAATCTTGGAGACATAGGCATACACAAGGACTTTCTGAACAGAACTTCAGTTGTACAAGAAATAACATCAAGAATCAACAGAGGGGATAATACCAAATTAAGAAGTTTCTAGCCAGGTGTGGTGGTGCACATCTGTACTCCCAGCACTCAGGAGGCTGAGGTAGGAGGATCACTGCGAGTTTGAGACCAGCCTGGGCTACATAGTGAGTTCAAGACCAGCCTGACTGCACAGTGAAACTGTCTCAAAAAGACAAAAAAAAAAAAAAGCTTCTGTACAGCAAAGGAAATAACCAACAGAATGGGAAAATTGTTTTGCCAGCCACTCTTCAAAGGACTAACGTCTATATGAAGAACTAAAAAAAAAGAAAGAAAAAATTAGTCCCCGCAAAAGATCCAGTTAAAAAATGGGCAACTGAAATGAACAGGAACTTCACAGACATGCAAGTGTCAGAAAAACACATGTGTCCCCAGTTACCATAAAAAAGAAAAAATTGAGAGAAGATTACCACCTGGGGGTATCAGCATCTCTGGCCATTAGAGAAATGCAAATTAAAACAATACTGAGATTTCATCTTACTCCAGAAAGAATGGCAACCACCAAGAAATCATATAGTAAATGCTAATGCAGGGAAAAAGGAACTGTTGTACATTGCTGGTGGGAATGTAAATTGAGTACAACCATTATGGGAGTAAGTATGGAGATTCCTCACTAAACATAGAAATTCCATTCAACTCAGCTACTCTTCTTCTAGGTATCTTCTTGAAAGAGTTAAAGATACCATATTACAGTGACATACGCATACCCATGTTTATAGCAGCACAATTCACAATAGCTAATTCTTGGAAGTGGCCTATACGTTCACTAATAAATGAATGGATGAAGAAAATTTATTCAGTGGGTGTGGTGGCCCATGCCTATAATCCCAGCACTTGGGAGTCTGAGGCAGGAGGATTGCAGCGAGTACAAGGCCAGCCTGGACTACACAGTGACTTCAAGGTCAGCCTGCATTCACAAAGTGAGATGCTGTCTCAAACAAACAAACAAAAACAAAAGAAAATGTGCTATTCATTTATAATGAAGTCCTACTCTGCTATAAAGAATAAATTTGACTTATAGGAAAATGGACTTTCCTTGAGACAATGGTAAGCTTGTGTCTACACAAGCTTAAATATCAAATGTTTCTCTTATATGAGAAAGCTAAAATATAAATAAATCAAAGAACGAAATAAAAGATAGGTAATAGGAAACAGAGAGACACATAGATCTTTTGCAATGGGAAAAGGACCAAGAGATGGAGAAAGCAAGAACACAGGACAAAGGGAAAGTAAAACAGATGTGTGTGCACATGTACCACCAACCTCCGTAAATATAACCATTGTGTACCACAAACACATACTAATAAAAATTTTAAAAAATAAATGAATAAAAATTTGGAAACTTTCATTGTCATAGGTACAACAAAGGCATTTACAATGTAGTTTGAAAGGACATGAACTTGGTGGCAGACCTAGGTGTATAACTGGCTGCGAAACCTTGAATATATCACTGTCTCTGAATGGTGCCCTAATCTGTAAGAGGGAAATACTGGAACACAAGATATCTGTACGCTTTATATAAAACACCATGAATACTTAGCATGTATTTAAAATTCTTAAAAACATAAGCTATTAATATAATTACACATTCTAAACTAAGACAATACAATGGCACATTTATTTACTAAGCCCCTAAAGGCAGCAATATCTAAAAAATTAAGTGAGAACAAAGCTCATGATATTTAATCAATAAAATATCTGGAGCATTAACAATACTCTTTTAAAAGGCTGAAGTGGATGTGTCTAAAGCTGACACAAATAAATTGATTCATTAATTCAACTAATGTTTATGGGGGAATGCAGAGAACACTTAGCTCCTAGGTCCTATTGTACATTAAGCACTGGAGATACAGTAGGTAGGAAAATCAGTCTTGGGCATGACCTCATTAACTCAGGATACAGTAATCAATATTTTTTTCTTTTTTGGTTTTAGGAGACAGGGTCTTGCTTTGTAGTGTAGGCTGGGCTTGAACTCTATGTAGCTTAGGCCAGCCTCAAACTTGTGGCATTCCTCTGCCTCAACCTATCTAGTGCTGGGATTACAGGCATGCACCACCACACCAAGCTTCATAATTATCAAATTAACCAAATATATGGCACTATATAATTGAATTTAGTACCACAAAGGAAGATATATGGTGCTACAGAGTAAATGAGATGAAGTTAACATAAAAATAGATCAGTGTCTTAACTACTTTCTCATTGTTAGGACAAAATAGCCAACACTCACAAGTTTAAGGAGGAAAGGTTTATTTTAGCTCATAGTTTGTACAGGCTTCAGCCTATCCTCAACTGGCTCCAAGGCAGGATCACATGGAAAAGGAGAAACAGTCTATAACAAGACAAGCAAGAAGCAGCAGCAGTAAGCCTCCCCTTCCCTTTTTATTCCATTCAGCTACAAGCCTATTGGTTGGTGCTACTTTCACCCAGGGTGGGTTTCCGTCTTCAATAAATCCATACAGTCACACGCAGAATTGTGCTAATCCAATCAGAAGACTAAGCCAGTATCACACACCCATGATCCCAAAAGCCTCACCTGAGAGCACATGAGGCTTAGAGGACCATTTTAGATATAAACTATAACAGGGGAAGTGTCTGTGAGTGATTTTCATGCTGAGATCAGCAGAATGAAAAGCAGTTAATTTAATAAGCAAAGAGTAATTCCATGGCAAGAGAAGTGACAGCATCAGAACTGAATGCAAAGACCTGTGTAGCTGGAAGATGAACCTGGAAAAGAAAACAAGGCTCAGTCCAAGAATATTGGTATCTAAAGTAAGCAGTGTTGGTCTTTATCTGAAGGATGTTGGGAAACCTCAAGTGTTTTAGGCAGATTATTAAATCCAGATTAGAATTTTGAAAAGGTCAGTCTCATACAGCACAGAAAATAAAGTGGAAGACATTAAGAATAAATGTGGAGAAACTTTTTTTAAATGCTTCTGCAATAATCTCACCAGAGATTATAGAAATTTGGACCAATATGGGGCAATAGGGATAGAAATTGGGTAATGAATATGCAATATTGAGAAAATTAACAAGATTTGGTGATGAGTTGATGTTTTACCAGGCAGAACTCTGGCTAGCACCAACTGTATAGCAGCTAAAGAAAGTTTTACAGAGGCCTGTGGCTACCATCATACCTGCTTCCTCTTCTGGTAGATATTCACAAAGCACTTACTCTTTTCTTGGTTATTACAAAACCAGCAAAATTGGTGGACAGGGCCAGTCTTGGCTCAAATTCTAATCCCTATTTCTTTTCTCTTCTCAAGAACAGTCAAGAGGCAGTTATCAGAACACTGATATTCTACCTAAGAATTAAATAGCTCAAATTCAGGTATCTGATGGTGCAAAGTCCAGCAAATAATCTAAAGTTACAATAAAAATAAAAGAAACACTAATGAACAGACAAAATCTATGCCTTATGGAGCTACCAATTTAGTGAAGAGATAAAAAAAGAAGTAAACATACTGCCTTATTTTATTTTATTTTATTTTATTTTTTGGTTGTTGCTGAGACAAAATATCTAACACCCAAAATTAAGGAAGAAAAGGTTTATTTAGTTTATAGTTTGTGGAGGTTTTGGTCTATATTTGGTTGGCTCGAGGGCTACTCTGGCACATGGCAGAGGGCAAATGTTTATGGTGGCAGAACACAGCAAAAACAAGAGCAAAAGGGAGGAATGGTTGGTTGCAAGCAGTCTCTTTTTTTTCCTTTACATTGTAAACAGGTTATCTCCATCAGGGGGTGTAGCAGTCACATAATCTCTA